GTACAATAGATAAAAGTAAGAAAGTGTGTAAAAAGAGACTCTTGTGTGGTGTGTGGAGGGGGGGGGGGGGGGGGGGGGGGGGGGGGGGGGGCGGATGGGAATGAAAGAAAGAATTAAACCTACACCACACCCACACCCGCCCACACCCACCCACACCTACTCACACTCGAGGTTGTGCGTGTGAGTAATGTTGTTATCCACACACACCCACACTCACAACGTTTTTGTTTTTATTTTTATTGATTAATGTAACGTTTCGAAGTCGAAGACTCCTTCATCAGACATGATATAAAACTATGACACACTTTTCACATGCTCATACATTTTTATACCTACAGAGCATGCTAATCTTCTTCTTCCGTCCCACTATCAAAGAAAAGAAAAAAGAGAATTTTCTAGAACCATATCTGTAGGTATAAAAATGTGCGTGCATGTGAAATGTGTCATAATTTTATATCATATCTGACGAAGGAGTCTTCGACTTTGAAACGTCACATTAACAAATAAAAATAAAAACAATAAGATTAAGGAAGAAAAGAAATTTTTATTAACTGTCTGTTAGAAATTTGACACTTTGCCAATTTTTTTTATTCATATAATAAACCTAAAGTAGGTATATGAGTTCCACATTTCAATCCCCATGAGGCTGTGCTAAGAAGCTTTTTTTCCATGGCGTTATTTACTTTCAGGGTTTATAAGATTTCATTCTCTCAGTAGGCATATATGAGATTAAGAGCGATGCGTGTGGTTGTATACAGAAAAAGAATTGAGAGCACTTTAATAACTATTATGCATAGTAATCATGGCAAAAAAACAGAAGCACGGTTATACATTATGGCCAATTGCGTCTTCCTCTTGCGCTCTAAAAATGAAAGAGAATTAATAGCATGTAAACTCGTAAGAAAAAGTTTATGATTTCCATATTTTTAGCTATGGATCTTTTCTTTTCAGCGAAGTTGCATGTCAAAGAGTATCCATAGCTAGTAGTCTAAGCCTGTTTCTTTTATTTTTGTCAATAATTAATCATTTGATATTTGACATAAAACTATTTAATATATTTATCAGCGAATTTCTCTCTCTCAACATAATCAATATTCTCACATGTTTCTTGCATAAAATGCATTAAAAATACCTTATTATTTATTCAAAATTCAATTATTTGTTTTCATCGTCATGTTATCATTATTTTCATCAAATAATAACGACAACGATTCAACTACTATTGATTTATTGTATCATTTATGTAAAGAAAATCAAATAGATAAAGTTCGAAATACTTTACAATTTATTAATAAATAGAATTGAAAGAATAAAATTTTTTGTATATGTGTGAAGAAAAATCTTTTACTTTCTAATGGATTATCATTACTTGNTTATTCAAAAGTGTTTACACTAGGCTTCTTTATATCGATAGCATGTATTCAGATTTGTTCGGTGATATTACGTTTATATACTAAAATGTTATTTTAGTCCAATTGATTCGTTGAAAAAAAAATGATCTCAATATTGAATTTACTGAAAAAAGAAACAAAACATTCTTTCATATTTTTCGTTCATTTTTTTGATAGAAAAGTACTGTAAATGATATGATTTAATCTGTTTTAGCTGAACTTGTTGGAATATCGAGAAAAACCGATTTGGAAAGGTTTGACAATGAAGTACAATAGCTATGGTCATTCACTTCTATTTGAAAATATGCCGTTCTTATGATTAGAATACATCTTATGCGTTAAGCAATTAAGTAGTTAATTCGAAAGGATGGTTGATTGCAGAAAACCCCATAATACGCCAATTCTTCAGGACACCCAAGTAGAGATGTATTGGGCTACCTTACTCTGTTTAGAATGTTAGGATAGGAAAATAATAAACATACTTCAGAGCAGTGTAGTGCTAAGGTCAGAAAATGTATCTCTATCAGGTTACATACTGAGAAAAAATTTTACCCTGCACATCTCTACATCTGGGTAACCTAACAGATCATGATATTATAAACTTCTGGTTTATGAGTGAAAATCATGGCAAGTTTTCATTATTATCAATAATGATCAGAAGATGAAGTGCCATAACAGAAACCAGTGCTTCGTTGAAAAGATTATTAAAAGTTTTGACTCCTCAGTAAGTCGATGATATTTATGAGACATCTATACATTAGTTAACCCTATGAGAACGGTGGAACAATAGTGTTCCACCGTCCTCAAAGGGTTAATTGATCGAAATATATACTTTTGTCATGGAAAATTAGAGCTATCATCTGAAAAAAGAAACACTTCGAAATGCATACATCCAGTTCAATGTTATGGTTATTTTACTAATCTTGAATGAATATTTTCAACTTATACTTTTTCAGAAAATATAAAAAAGTATTTTTCATAATAGCTGTGTGATTTTTGCCTGCATACATTTTTATATAAGAATTATTATTTTTATTGAATAATATTCATCATATTTGCTGATTATGATTGTATTTTTGTAAGACTATTCCAATTGTGAAAGGCTTTCATATGTGCTGTCTTAAAAAATTCCATTCAAGAAAAAATGCAAGAAAATGATGAGTAGTATTGGACAAAGATTAAAATCATTCGTTCAAAAACAAGGTCAATGCGTTACCAAATTTGATTATTGATATTTATACAAAAAGTTAACATGACAAGCTGATAAATCATTTTGATCTTTTATTGAAAATTGTTTTAAAAACTTTTCTCAAAAAAATGTAAGTTGAAAATATTCACTCAAGATTAATAAAACAGCCATAACATTCGACTACAAGAATGCATTTCGAAGTGTCTTTTTTCAAATGATTGCTCTAATTTTCTGTTACAAAAGCATATATTTTAATCAATTAACTATGTATTGGTTTCTTATACATATCATCGATTCAGTGAGCGTGGTCGAAAGTTTTGGGGTACCCTTTATGAGAAAATAATAAACCGAAATTGCAATGAACTATAATGCACGATTGAATGTATTTGACTTACGATATCTTAGTGAGGATTTCAACTAAAATTTAATAATCAGTGTGGTTTCTTCCTTATTCGCAGCCACCCTACTCACACGTTTCAGCCTAGTGAAAATACTCATCAGGCTAGTACTTCAGAAATGTTACGTGTAATTATACTTTTTACTGATATATCTTTAATGATATTTTACTGTTCTCAATAAGAATTTTTATTCAGTGTTGGTTTAGTTTTTGAAGATAAAACATTTATCTCCATACTCTATATGAAGATATGTAAACATCATGTAGTATCTTCATTTCTTAAATTTTCATAATAAGGAATATTTTACAAGAAAACCATTACAGTACACAAAAACTGTATCATAAGAACTGGTAAACAGCGCAATTTTATAATGCAAGCACTCATTTGTTTTCGTACTCGTTTTTCTTCTGTTTATCTTTTTGGTTTCCATTTGACATCGTACCTAGTATTCATAAAAAGTTATCATCATTGTCAAGAATGTATTTAAAAAAATCGTTCTATAGTCGATTCCTTTGTTCTGCAGGACAAAGAGTTCGTACTGCAAAAGTATTCAATCCCAAACACTCCTGTTTTCTCAAACAAGAGCCTAACTTGTTTGTAAAGACTTCGAGATTGTATGTCAGGTTCTGCATGAATTGGTGCTTATTAAGATTAATAGTTGATGAAACACATATTGAATGTTGTTTCTTTCTCATAAAAATAAATAAAAAGATTTTCTATGAAGAAAAATAATACAATTTTAGATTCCTGGACTAATGGCTGGATGTACATCTCTTGATTCTATGCGTCAATCAACTCTTGAATGTTTATATAATCAATCATGTGTTGATGCAATATCACTTCAATCAAAAATACTTCGACCAAAAGCTTTGAATTCATCATTATCAGAATTTCCATTGAATTCAACAATAGGTTCACTATTTGATGAATTTTTATTTGTTGAAATTTGGAAAAATCAATCTAGCTTTGAAAATTATTTTGCTGCTTGCGAACCCCAATCACTCTCTTACAGTTATGAAAGTCGATTTCATTTTGGAACAATTATTACAATGAGTCTTAATGCTTTCGGTGGTCTTGTTACTGCTTGGGAGTTGATTACACCAGCTATTATCATAATTTGGCAACGAATAAAATGGAAAAGAAAACAACGTCAACGATCTACAACAACAGAAGAAACACTTGTAGAATTAGAAGTTATGAAAATGATACCAAAACCAATTAAAAAAGGTTAATAATATATAAATAGCCATTAAACATGCAAATAGTATTTTCTTCATAAAAGATAATAACTAGAGCATTTATTCAAATTGACCATATGAATATATAGTGAGCGTGCTATTTTATGAGTAATCTAAGACAAACAGCTCTTTCTGACTTGCCAAAATTTATTTTATGATTTCTAATGTCAAGATTCACATATAGTATCATAGAGTTACATGCTAGACAACATAACCATTTCACCATAGCGATTAGATGACATTGATGTATTAAAATACATGTTTCCAATCATTTTTTTTTTGCTGTAGAGTCTTCAATAAAAGTAATAGAAGAATTTTGTTTTTCTTATAGCTGTAACCGTTCACGTTCGTCGAACAATTCATAATTTTAATTTGTTTCCGTCAGACAATAAAAATGATTCTGAGGAAGAACGTATTGGTATTATCGCTACTCGTCTTTACATTTTCTTAATATTTACCGGTCTTATAATTCTTGGTTTTTATACATCTTTATTAAAACATAATCAAACATATACTGTTGAAAAACCTTCACTTTCAAAATTTGAAGAATTATATTCAATGCATTCGTCAACATTAAATTGTCCATGTTCCCGATTTTCAATGTTACATGATCAAGTAATGTCTCTTACACCTCGTTATCATTCGATATGTTCAAGCAAATTTATTGAAAATGATTGGTTATCTTACTTTGGTCATGTTGAAATCAATATTCATGCTGTTCGATTTTTATCATCTGATTTTCGAGTTGGTGGTCAATCGCTTTTTGAATTACTGAGTACATTATGTAAAACATCACATGAAACAATTGAAAATGCATTAATAGTATTTCGATCGAATCAATTAGTTACCATGTATGCCTTATCACGTTCACAATTTAATATTGAAACGATGATACGTTTAAAACGATTTGAACAACAAACAATAAATTCTTTTCTCAATCTAATTCAATTAATTCGTTCATCAATTAAAACCAATCAATTAGCTGAAGAAATGTTGACAAGTACAGGACCTTCTTCACAATTTAATAACGAAACATCAAAATGGTCATTCTTTTACCGATCGAGAAATTATTATACAAATTCATGTTCATGTGCTGTGTCTGATGAATGTAGTCGTCCAGCTGGTTTTCATTTTCAAACAGATAAAAGTTCTAGTACACCTAATATAACCATACCCGGTTTATTTCTTGGTTGTTATGCAATTGATTCTGTTCTTTTATCTACATTAGAATGTTTATACGAGAAAACCTGTGTTAAACTTCTTGTTGATAAATACTATTTTGATGTTATTGGTTTAGTTAAACCACTGAAGAGTAGTGCTGTTCAAATACAACCACTCCCACATGAAAATAGTCGTTTTTATCCAAATACGACAATAAATGAGATTGTCTCGGAAGCATTTGTAGAATATTGGATTAATTCAACTAATTATACGTCATATTATGAACGATGTGCACCTTTACAATGCACTTACACTATACGAAAACGTTTGAATATTGATATGTTAGCTAAAATGCTTGGATTTTATGGGGGATTAACGGTAATTTTAGAAATAATCTTACTATCACTTGTTAGAACAATTTTACAACTATCGGCGAAACTCAAACAAAAACCAAAGCCAATAGCTACCCCTAACGACAGTACGATGGGTAAGATAATGACTATTATTTTATTTCGTTCAATAGAAATAGTACGTCGGTAATGTTCTATGAATAAAAGAGATTCTTAGGAAAAGACGAATATTAATTAAACTTCAATAGAAACTTTGCAGATATTTTGCATACACCTTTGGCATTGCAACAATGAGACATTCTAATTAATACGAACTCCTTCAAAAACTAAAATATTTCTTATTTATTTTCATTACAGATATCATTTGTACGTGCAAAGTAATAAATCTAAATTTACACATTTTCGTAAAAACACCTCTCTCATATTTTAACATTTCAAAGAAATCGCTCTAGAATATTGACTCATGTGAATATACTGCAAGGCAATGAGTCTTCAATTGAGTAGAGCAGAGCCATTATTGATCATGTGAAATCTTTTGTGAAGACAAACTCTTTTAAGTAGGAAATCGCTGATTCTATTTATTTAATAATTTTTAAAGAAGTTTACCATGTGACAAAAATAGGCAGTTTTACTGATTTGTTTGCCAACCCTCATTATCGCGATCACCGGTACTTTTGTACAATTGTCCGGCACGATTTGATTTCTCGCTCCACTGATAGATAAGTTGAGATAGATAGTTATTTTTTAACTAATGTAAGTTTCATTTCAAAACACTCAATATTAAAGAAAAACATGAATATTAAAATATACATACATAAATCTACTCTGAACAGCACGTTTGCCAGCGTTCATCGATTGCTACTTTCAGCTGTTGTATCTTGTTCTAGCAGGAAAAGTTGAACACTTTTTAAGATAAGCTAAAAATGATCAGTAAATTTATTGGTAGATTACAGTTCACTGGTAATTTTATCGGTAAAACATGGTTAACCGGTGATTTTCCAGTAAACCGCCGGTTTTGGCGAATACTGCAGTTTACCGCTAAAAGTGATTTATTTCTTTTAAAAATTAGGGTGGGGTGTGGGTGTGGAGGTTACTGAAGAGGAGATTCACACCCACACACTCGTTACATTTCAACATATAGATAAATTATTCAGTTAAACATTTACACAAAACAATAATTTGTTAAATAACAAAAGAAGAAGCTTCTGTTTTGTTTTCTAGCATAAAACACGTGCAAGTCAATGTTTTTAGTCCTACGGCGTGTAATTTTTATATAGAAAATTGAAACTAGTTATTCGAATTCGAAAAAAATATTAACTTTCTGGATTAAAAAATTGCGAGTTCGTTCAAACCGGGGCACGACTAGACGTGCGTTTTATTTGGGTTCAAATATTTGCATTGTATTACATTCTGCAACTTCTCCAGAGCACATTTAAGACAACGTTTTCAGCAAATTTTAACTGTGAATTCAGATGATTCACAGCTCGTCTATAATACTCTTTGTTCTCTTTTTCAAAATTGATGTCATTTATATAAATACAGTCAAAACTATTTTATAGGACTGAAGATTTTCGCATTACTATTTATTGGACATTTTTTTCATGCCGAGTCAAGGTGAAGAAAACTTCGAGCATGGGCCAAACTCGATCGTAATCTGGATCCGTTGAGTCTGACATGGGCTCAAGTTCAGGGATTTTATTTTGGTCGGGTTTGAGTCTAGCACCAGATCCAGAAAAATGGTAGCTTGCAGCTGTGTGTTGCCCATTCGTAGTAATACTATATGACAGCTTTTCTTATGAATTACCTTGTTAGCACAACCCCTTTAGGATGGGAATGTGGGCCTCACATATTTCACAAACGTTAAAATACTCAACGACTATATAACTAGTTGTACAGTCTGTTATGGGGAAGAGGATGAAAAGTCGCAAAACTTTTCCTTAAAACTTGCATTCACCATTTTCTTCGAAAATATATGTGAGTCTCACAAGAAAAGCTTAGAACGGTTTAGTAGATGTTTGTTGTATTTCAGACACAATGATGGATGCTTCATGTTCTTCGTCACAAGAAACTCATCATGTTTTTTATAAAATATCTAAAAGATTATTATCATTGAATTTATTTGCGAGTGACACACCCTTTGTAGAGAAACGATTTCAAAATCAAGAAATTATTGCCACTCGCATTTATATATTGATATTTATATTATGTTTGATTACTGCTATTATCTATTATGGTCCATTCAATAAGGAAACAGAATCTATTACAATAAAATACCCAACAATGAATATTGTCAACGATCTTCATGAAAAGAATCTTTCAAGTCTCTCATGTCCATGTTCAAAAGTAGCTATTCCCTATGCGAAAGTTTTATCAATAAAACCAGAATATCATTCAATATGTTCAAGTGAATATGTTTCTCTATCATATATCATTGATTTAAAAAACAAAAATGATAGTATATCATTAGCATTAAGTGCTCATTATCGTTTATTGTCCTCATTATGCCATTCATCTCATCGTTTTATTGAGAATGCTAAAGAAGTATTTGATGATTATGAACTAATCAATGCAGAAACATTAACTCGTTCTTCATTCGATATTCAAATACAATCGTTAATTTCAGCATTTATTTCTCAAACTCCAGCTGATTACAGACGTACTCTTTCATTTATAGTCGGTTCATTTAGTGTTAATCAATTATTACATCTTTTCAGAACTAATTGGCTAATTGATTTTACTGATGAAACTGAACAATATGTATTGAAAACCTTTCCACGAAATTTTTCATTATCAAATTGTAGTTGTGCAATCTCATCGAATTGTAGCGAACCATTGACAGGCGATATTGTTACTGGTTGTTTTCCATATGATGGATTTCGTTTGTCGAAATTTGAAAATGTTTCATTGGAAAAATTAAATGATCAATTATTTGTAGAAACATGGAAAAATACTAGTAATTATACAAATTATTTTCAAACATGTCGCCCATTAGAATGTCAATACACATTACCAAATAAAAATAATTTTATAATTATGTTAACAAATCTTTTGGGTTTGTACGGAGGTAAATAAATAACGAAATTTTTTCGAAATTTCATTCATTTATGTTTAGGTTTAACATATAGTCTACGTTTGATTATTGGTGAATCGTTACTTGCTTATCGATGGTGGACAAAACACATAAGAAAAAAACCAAATACAAACGAAATAAGCTGAGTTAGTGCTCATGTGAAACTATTATATTATAAATATTTATTTTTTATTCTTCAATAAAATTATCATATATCAAAAAGGCTGAAACGGGGAGAATCCTTTGTTCCTCATTCTGACCTTAATATTTTTGCTGTCTCGCTAGGCTTCTATAAGATGCTTGTATTTTTCGATCATGTGATGTGCTCGAATACACATTATAAAAGAAAACAAAAGAACACAAGGGTGTGGGAGTGCAAGTGGATCTTCTTTTCAACAACATTAATGCTCCGACACACACTCACCTACCTATATCTATATCCACACCCTACACTCTTATGAAATTATACTGTACTAACAAAGTGGTAAACTTTCCTCAAAATTGTTGCATTTGACATTGTAACACAGTTACTTGTTTACCATTTTCCTAATGATAATTATTTTTGTTTTTGACTAGAGGTTGAATACGTTACCATCAATCCCACATATGAAATTGATGTACACTACGTTCGGTAAGCGACCGATGTTTTCTGAGACTATCATTATCACCACTTTCATGACTATTATCGTTCATCGATGAAATTTTATTAATCATTTGCATTGTAAAACATTAAACATTTCGTGGTAAGTTTTTATTCGGTGCATGTATGCATTAAAATTTTCGATGAATCACTATTGTCATGTATAGTTGGCACACAGTTTTCTTCAGTTATACATTCAAGACACTTCCACTTTTACGTGTTTGGTTAGATAACAAAGGAAAATTAACAGTGTAAAGTAAGGTTATCCATAGATTCTATGTTTCTGTATCTTCAAGCTGATAAGGCATACGACAAGTCTTATCTACACAAAAGAAGTGCAATTTTATTTCTTTTATCTATTTCGCTTTATCAAACATAATGGTGCACATACAAGTGAAAAATAGCCATACTAATACCAGATAGATTATCCAGTGAATAGAACAGAACTGTATAGGTGGCTTTTCTAGATTTTTACGAGTCTTATCACTGAATTCTACAAGTGACTTTTACTTTTTTTAAAGTATGTTGACATTTTACAAATTTAACAAAATTCATTCATCATGTGCTATTGAATGAATCATGCCGAAAAACTATTGCACTTGCTTTTAAGCCATTATTCATGTAAACTGAAATACTTACCTGAGATAAAACTATATTTCCTTACGTAGTTAAAAATAAAAAAGATAAAATACAAACATTAGCTGGATTATACACTTTTAACTGATAATTTTCTCTGCATTATTATCATTTTCTCGAGCTATATTTTCAAGATCCGCCGAAAATTTTCTTTCCTTCACTAATGTTAGTCTNAAAGATGAAAATGTTCATTTATTTTTTTTTTATATTTTAAATCATCATATGGAATGAATAATATTCACAAAATATTTTTTATAACTGAATATTGATTTTTAAACAGTTTTTTAGTTTATACGATAATTTAATGAAAACCTACTGTTTTGTTAAATACGATTAACAAGCAGATGAGAGAAAAACAAAAAAAAAAGGTCTCATACGAATAGAGAAAGAATGTTCCACATAAAAATGACAATAGATCAGATTTCTATTATCTAGATGAAAATATTCTTTTCAATATTCGAAACATTCAGACTAATTAAGCGTGAATAATCTTTATAGATTTCAAAAACTTATGTTACAATAATCACAATATATTTTAACACTCTGTAAATGAAAACTAAATGAAGATATGTTTTTATTTGAGACGAAGAAGAACGACGATAGAGATATTGATTAATTGATAAGAAAAATTACTGATTCTGTTTCGTCAAAGTAACTAAATAACAATAAATAATTTCCAAACATATATCATAAACAATTTGGAGTATTTGTCGTCAGTTTATTAATTTCATATAACATGCATGTTAAAAAATGATTCTATGTACATGAAGAAAGAAACTTAACCCAAAATATCATATAACTTTAATGGTATCGATAACAAAAATGTCTTTATTTTCCTTTGTTATGAGCGACTTTTAGTAATATATTGAAGTCGTATTGGACTACAACTTTCATAATGTAAGCCGATCATATATTCTGTTGTATCTTTGGAAAGATTATTCTACAGATGTTCCAAAAGTTCGGTCGAAAAAGAAATGTGAATATTTCCTTAACTATTCAAGCGATTTACATGAGACTTTTCTACTTTTATTCCATATTGATTGAAGTTTTATTTAACATAAATTTATATCTAATAGATGTACAAAATGATCATTTATAAATGCAACATATTAAACTTGTTCTTTTTTTGAAAATATCTGTAAAAACATCATATAAAATTTAGGTTGAAGTATCTTCGATTCTCTTATGCGTTTTCATTTTTAGTTTAACGAGATCTCTAATACACGCCATGGACTCATGTAACTATTGGAATTGGTAAGAATATTATGCTAGATGAACTCTATATTATTTCACAAAGGCGAAGCTCCTTCAGATTTTAGCCACGAAGTCTGTCAACTTCTGGAGAACATTTCTCCAAGCAAACGCAATAGAAGGAGTAGTTCATTTCAATGAGCATTACAGTCAGCCGAACTGGCATGGCTCAACGTGTTTTGTAGAAACATGTAGAGAATAATTTCTGTAAGACATCTATAGTTCAAGTAGTTCCTTCACACGAAAGTACCGCTAGTCTCCGATTTGATTGTGGTAGAGATCTAGAGAGGTGAGTGTTTGTGAGAATAAGTGTAGGTCGGTATATCACTGAAATGAAGATAGAATGAGGGACACCGCACAGCGGGGAGCTTTCTTATCAGCAGGCGGACATGCGACTTTTTTGCTCAGAAACAGCTTTCATTTACTTCGAAGTGATCGTATATCATTCAGAAAACCGCATTTAAGAAAGTAAAAGCTTTTTTCAAAAAAAACTTTTTTTTAACAAAATATGCTGGGAACGCTTGCCATTATTTTCTCAAGAAATATAGTGGAAGTGTTTCTTCTTTTTCTCGTCTCATTTTACTTATTAATGCGTTATCCATATCAATGATACATTATTTAAAAGAAAAGAAAATTTCTTATTTTGTCTGTGGACATGTTTCACAGCTAAGTTATCAAAGATAGGAAAGAAGAAAAAAAACCGTTATCTTTAGGTGAAAATGTTTTGTTTGGATAGCCTTTTATGGAAGAGAAATAGAGATCGAGAGATTTTTTTTCATTACTTTTGCATCGTATATTATTTCTTAGATTTCTGAAAGATCAATGGCGCGATTAAAAAGAATCATATATCCATCGATTGATTGCAAAACTCGCGATTGTGAATTTTCTCATTCAACTGTTAGAAACAAGCGTAGAGTTTCTCTTCGAGCAACAACAATCCAAATCTAAATTTGACTTTATGAAAGTTTAGTTGAAACAATACAGTTTTGACTCTCCTTATATACTTCGTTTATAAGGAAACAAAGATTGCCCAAGATTAAAAGGAAATAACACTAATAGATGTTGAAACAACACTGTTTTATTGTGTTGATATGAGTACGAAAACTTGCTCTCAACTCGTTTTATTAGAGAAAAAAGGCATATCTATAAAATATTTTTCAACAGATCCAGGCTAGTTACAACACCGATACATTCAATTTAACAACTAAAATGTTTAGCATAGTGTTACCAATTCCTATTTGCCACATGATAATTGAATTATCGATATTCCAGGTGAAATTGATATTCACAAGAATCAATGGAATAAATATGGCGACTTGCTCATACGATAATCATATTTTTTTTATCGATGGTATCAAACGACTCAGTGCTATTAAATGAACGATATCATTTTTGTAAATATGGCTCATGTTAATATTTCATTCGTCGATCAACAAATCCATTTTCTCACTCACAGCTGATGTCGCATCGATTGCACCCTATTGAAAAATATCACGAAAGAGGAAGCATTTAAATGAAATCGTAACCTTTAACAACTGAATGTTTCTTTCAAGAAACATTACGCTACAATGGCGAAATCCAGTATATTCTCAGACTAAGATGATATTATGAGACATAAAGATAAAAAAAAACAAATATCTTCTAGATGACTACGAGATAGTGCAGCAGAGAATTTCAAATAAGAACTATTTTAAGACTCATTTTAGACTTTATAAAAATTGTTTACTCATAATTATTTTATTCTTTTTTTGAGTACTATCACTAAGCAGAACGTCAAACTATTTTATGAAAATGTTCGATAAATTTTCGAGCGAATTACTGGCTCCTGGTGGCACTGTTAAGATAGTATCTCTTAGAAGAAATATTGGGTCACAAACACATGAAACATTATAACAACCTATTATTAATGGAAGAACTATTTGAACTATTACGTCGGCAAATTCTTAGCTCCTTTCAAATCTTTCCAAGGACTATCGTGAAGTAGAATCAGAGAACGGAAATAAACAGAATTACTTGTGAGAAAGAAAAAGTTGTCATATCAATTATGAAAAGCAATAAATTGATACTGTTAAAGATCAGATGTCCCTTCTGAGGGACATTCTGTACTTCTATAAGTCAAAGTTTTTCAATACCATACAAAATAGTCGGTATCTGTTTTCTCGTGTAGGAACGATAGTGCTAAATATACTGATGAATGTTCATTATTAGATAGATTTTAAGAACCTCGTGGCTGAATCTCAGAAGAATGAAAAGTTGAAGAGCGAGTTCAAAAGCAGATCCGAAATATGTCTTTGTCATTAATTCCTTGAATAAGCTGCACATCTGGAAGTTTCAGTATTCAATACATAACAGTTAGGTAATTCTAAAGTATTAATAAAAAATAAAGCTTTGTTTGAGTTACTTAGAGATAGTTGAACCCAAAAAATGTCCGTTACAGAAGAATGATAACCTCAACAAGTAGTTACTATCTATAGCAAAATTTTCAGACTTTGTCTGATTTGAAACAAATGAACAAGGTAAGGTCCAGTTTAACTGAAGCATAAGACTCCGCCATTCTTCAATGTATACCGCTTCTCAAAGTGTTCGAAGCTTTTTGAACCTTCGACTATGCTTGCAGGCCCAAGTTATATAAGCTCAGAAAGTTTTATTACATTCGCAAAAAGTCTATGTAAACTCTGGTATGTTTTTAAAAGAATCACGCATCATGCATTCGATGGGTTTCAAGATAAACGAATGAAAAGACATTTTCACTGGAAAAAAACTCTAAATATGCCAAAAACAAACTTATCAACTACCTGCTTCGTCATTTCTATCTTGATAAAATACGTGATATGAAGATCGAAAAATTTATTTTCATTCATATACTTGGTATATAAACAGTACTGCTGATTCGTTTGCTCTGATATATAATAAGTAAAGACATAAAAAATGAATTGCGAATCATTGACCAACGAACTATTGCTTTATCTATTCGAATTTCTCAGTAAGGATTGGACTATCTTATGCACGTATTTCACGATCTCAATGCTTGATTTGATTCTCTTATTGTTCGTCATTTTGTTATTTACAGGATCGGTTTCCAAACATTGTATTTCAATGATTTTGTTAGAATCTATTGAGAATATCTTTCAAGTTTGATTGATAAACTACCTCCACTGTATTTATTAGGGAAGAATGGTCTTTGCCGTCTACTTAATCGATTAAATGCTTGCAATTTCATACTTTGTCAATTTATTCAATGGAAATCACACTCGTTAAGCTATCTTTCGCATAAATAGTTAATGGATAAAATCATGCTAGAATTACTTCAGTTAAGAATCTCATTCACTTGACCCTCAGACATTGTTCTTTGTCAGAAGGTGATGGTGATCATCGATCAGCTGCGCTTTCTTTTATGAACTGTATATGGAATCTACCGAATCTCATTGATTGTTATTTTGACTGAACATGTGCGTATGTAGTGAGTATGCATTTCTTTGTAAAAAACAACCATGATATCATCAAGCATTACACATGTGGCTATATTGTCTATTTGTGATTAATATTTCAACTTGACTCGTCTATGTAAAACTACACCAAATGCTCAATATGTTTCGGTAGGTTTTTTCTGCATATGTTCTCACAAATTCTTAACGTCATCTGTCCTATCAATAACTTGTAGGTGTGACTTAGCTGGCATATTACAATTACAATGAATGCTTAATATGTGCCAATCAAAAGTGCGTTATTGTCATTGCATCCTTTTAACATGAATGAAATCGAGTTATTTCTAATCATTAACCTAAACTAAAAATATTCCATTTAAGAATGATGGCTTGCTTGAACATCACTCCCAGAGACGAACCAACAGCCATAAGACGTTGTACTTAGTTTAGGATACGAGGTTAAGTCTAAGACATACGCCAATAGTTATCACACAATGTACAATCAGGAACACTTACAATGTGCTGTGAAAAACTTCACATTCATGTGAAAAGTTGAGTATTAGTATGTTATTTAGTGTAAGCAATGCACAATTTGTAATTATTGCATGTAAGATGTAACGATAGAAAAGAACGATAGTGATGATCAAGCGAAGATGATGAGGAAGAGTCAAACTCAAAAGAATATGAACTTGCCAGGTGTGCGGCTATTGGTTGAAATAACTAATTGCCTTGACAATTTCGTATTGAGATTTTGTTAGAAGGAATTCTACTTAACCATATTTTGAAAAATTTGAGTTCGCTTATCATTTTAATGCAAAGTTTTACTGTTAAAAAAAAGAGGAAGAATAATTTGTTCGTTCTTTTACACTGTTAAAAGTATTTATGAGAGACAATCAAAAATGTAATGACACAAGTGAATATGGAGAATAATTTGTTTTCCAGAGATTCACTCAAGGGAAAGAGTTGCGGAATGGACTCGTACGATATTAATTCAAGTTGTTAACCATTACATATATCGTTTTGATATCGAAGGTATAAATACGATGATTTTACATGAAATATTACCCGAAAATGTTGATCCCGTTATTTTCATTTTGAGATGCGTTTAGTTCATCATGGAATAGTAAAAATACTTTCAGCATCTTAGTGCAACTCCTAAAGATGAGACAAGAAATTATCCTCTTCATAAGATAAGATCTCACACTCTCAAATAGTTAACGCACCCAGTTTTTAAGCAGATGATTAGTGTTTTAATTTTCGTCATTAATTGTGATTCGTGATTACTGTCTATGTTCAATAAGACGTAGTCATACATCATCAACATTATCATCGTTTTTGGATGTGTTTTTTGAGCCTATCGAAGAACAGTTCTCAATTATTTTCTCTCGATTAGTAATTATGAAAAATACAATTCGCAGAATGAAAAGAAAAAGACAATTATTTGTTTGTTCTTATTATATTTATTTATATATCATTTGTTTTAAACTTAATGTCTGATGAAGTATCTCATTGAGATACGAAACGTCACTAATTTTTAGTAGATTCTTAATATCAAATTACATTAAATTAAAAATAATGCAAAACACAAAGAAGAGAATTAGCTTATGTCAAATTTCAATTCAATCTTCTTATCAAAACAGAAATAGGATGTGAATGTTGTGTGTTTGTTGTCGACATGGAAAAAAAAAGTTAATTTTGTTTTGGACACGAATATGAATTAATAGTTCTTATCTATCAGGCAAAAGAAGAGGAAATTTGCTATTTTAATAAGTTTATTGAATTATATAGCGAGTTTTTTTTCTAGTAAATGCTTTAGTTGTTATCATTTCTTTTGATTATTTAATAGTCAAAAGAAAAGAAACTTTATTAGGCTCAAGAATGTACAAACGATGAATGACATACATGATTCTTTGACTCAATTCGTCCCAATGAAACATGACAATAAATTAGTCGGATTCAATCATCAGATCAGAATACGTCTGACATTTAAATTTACTAAGTAAGATCATCATAGCAAGTAACATAAACATGAATTGGTATCTATTGCAAAGATTTTATCCTGCAATGGTCAATGTTACTCAAGCTTAAGTTGTATCAGGAATAAAAGACGAGTATCACAAGCAATAACATATATCGTTAAACATAAAAGCTAGAATCTGTTAAAAAAAGAAAATAACGTTCAAGTTTATTATTATCATTTGTTGATGAATGATACAGAATAAGTCGACCCATTTGTCCGTTATTGGTTCTCATTATTGATTGAAAAAATTATTAAATGACTTATATTTTAACACCATAGTCAACATTTGTTTTTCTTTTATTTACTTTATAAAACAGTAGATTATTTGTTGTTGTTGTTATGATAATATTAATTATTATATGAAATTTATCATCTTAAGATTTTTTTTTCTTTAATTTTTCTCTTATCGTCGCAATACTTGTTTAATACTACCTAGTTACTATAATTATTTACATTAAGCAAAATGTAAAATATTTAATTTATATCTATTTCAATAAACGGACATAGGAGAGTATTAAGTTATGAGGACATGCAAGGAATATCTCGAGAAGTAGAAAAGAAAATGTATTTATGTTTTTTTTTTCTTGAGTGAAATAGCGAAAAAGAAAGATTTTTTTTTTCTTCTTTTTCTTCCTTGATGGAAGTTTTCAATATTACAGAGAAAATATTTTGTTTTTTAACTTTTCACCATACATTTCCTTAGAAAACAATCTATATACATATTAACTCTTTTTCAGATCAATAAATATTCGAAAATGAAATATGGATTATTGACAAATATTTTATGTTAGTTTCCTTCTATCGACTCTACGTAAGTCTTCATAAGATCATTTCTTATAATTTGATGGCATATTATTTGAGTTATTCATCAAGGATGTGTGGAATAAAAAGAAGAGAGACACTGAGCAAATACATACGAAGGTTCGGAGAATTCTTCACTTTTTTAAAATCGACCTTCACGTAGCAGAGATGGAGTTTGAATTTGCAAGGAAGCTTCTAAGTGAGCTAACCGAATCAGCCAAAGGAGATTTTCCTCTTGGACTGATTTGATCCGATATCTTAACCCTTTTTTCATTGCTTTTCAAACTTTATGCATATTTTAAGTAATAGAAATAATTTTAAAAGTTTTATGGCAAAAAAACTGGATGGATTTGAAGCATAGACAATAGAATAAATCGTATTAATTCTTTAAATTGATTGTATATCTCATTCAGATGTAGTGATCTTGGATATATTAACAATACTAACTATTGTGATACAACGGTTAACAGAAAACAAATATCGAAAATAAACTATTGTCAATAGTAATAGTTTATACTCTTCAACTTTGATTAGTGGTTGAATATATGAAAAGCGTTGTACTTTCTAAATAAAGGACACTCTCATAAATCTCTTAGTGTTTTTCTCAAGGAAATCTTTGTTCGAATCTGATCATCCAATAAGATATCATATAGTTATTATTTCTCAGCAATAAATCGGTGTATACTTATAAATAATGATCATTGTTAAGTTCATATATCTTCGGATGTTTTTTATGGATAGTCTCATACCTAAGTGCATTTTATTTTAGCTGTCATTGCCATCAATTCGATTCCGATCATGCATCAATAATTATATTATTCAAACATGGATAAAAATCATTTAACAACTAAAATTAATACTACTAATAATATCAAGCGTTCATGGTCATCAATAACTATCACAATACCAAATAATACATGTTTATATGAAAGCAATCGTGTTTTAAATGAACGTTCATCAAAAAATATTCTATCAGATTTATCATCATCGTGTAATCTTGAAGAAACAAATGAAAATGAATTATTATTTCCTGGTTTTGTTGAAAAAGTTTTCTATTGTCTTAAACAAACAACATCACCTCGTTATCAATGTTTACAATTGATAACATGGCCATGGTTTGAACGTATAAGTATGTTTGTTATTTTACTTAATTGTATTACACTTGGAATGTATCAACCATGTGAACATCATTCGGATGTATCAGGTTCAAAAATCTGTGACACAACACGTTGTCTTTGGTTACAAGCAATTGATCATTTTATTTTTGCATTTTTTACCATTGAAATGTGTGTTAAAATGATAGCTATGGGTATATTCGGTAAAGGAACTTATTTAGCTGATGCATGGAATAAATTGGATTGTTTTATTGTTGTTTCTGGGTAAGTTTTATTTATTTTAATAATATCATTTACAGATAAAGATAAAAATTTGCTTATCTTATTCTTGTATCTAAAAAAAAAAAGATCTGTCAGATGAGAAGAAATCTCATGATCAATAATAGAAATTTATATGTTGGATAAAAAGTCATTTAAGTATACAACTCTTGAATGGATTCAAATTAAGATCAATAGATTTTAATCTCACAAAGGTACATTATTCATTGATAATCTTTGTCTGGGTTCATATTTAAGGTAAAAATTCTAAAAGAATTAGTTCATTTAAGCAAGTCTTTGACGATGTTACAATAATTTAGCTGACTTTTTCAATCCGACATAGAATATTACGGAAATAAACCGTTATAAGGAAATTCCGTTTGAATTGTTCACTAACAACAAACGTCATCGTTCTTAGGATATCCTGAATGTTTTTCTCTTTCGAATTAACATGTTTTCAGAAACAAATTATATGCTACAATAGTCTCGAGAATAGCTGACATTTTTACAACATTCAATGCGTTAGAAAGAAATATTTGTGGTACTGAAACTTTCAACAATAATACGAAGGATAACATCTTTTGTTAGTGAAAATTTCTTATTACAGTTTGTCTCCATAACATCCTACATGTGATTGAAAATTTACTAAAAAGGATCATAAAATTTGAAAATAAAGGTCATATATGTGATGAACTCTTTTAGGTTTTTCTACCTCCACTATGAGCCCTACGAAACAGTATAACAGAAGCTATCAATTGGTAATATTTTCTCTTCTATAACGATTAGGTTTCTTGTTGAATTATCCTTATGGAAAAAAAGTAAAGTAAAACGTGCATCTAGGTTGTTTTACTAAGAAAGCTATCAGTGTAGAAACATCCATCATATGTAAAAAGAAAAAGGACAAATTAACCGTTAATATTTTCATCAATAAACATGAAATGAGCAGATGAACTGTAATTCAAGCGATCAAATCGTATTTGAAAATCACCTTAACATTGTTTGATCATGAATAAGACATGTTATAGGCTAACTTGATATAATCTTCATGGTGAATTTATTTTGTTTTGAAAGCAAACAATCCTACTTAATAAATAACATATATTGTTAATGAATTATACTCTTATGAAAATTCTTTTCTTTTATATTGATAATCATTAAGATAGCAAATAAATTGAATATTAAAGAAAAATTAGTTTTTGATGTGAGATTTACGATAGTAGTCAAAAAAATACGAGTATTTTTTCAATGATAACGTTTATTGTTCATATAAAATTCTTCATTATTTGAATACATGAATTAATCCATAATTATGGTGTTATAGAATTAGTTGACCTACGAGATATTGAAATTCTTTATAAAATTATGTCAAAGTAGTTCGAAATTATGATTTAATCGCTTATAAATTTGTTTTAAAATTTGATTAATATTTCTTGACAAATAACTTAGTAAACAAGTTAGAGAAATCAATTTAGAATATTTTTAAAGTGCACGTTTGACTATATGTTTTTTTTCTAGACAGAGAACTTTGCAAGAAGATTAATAAGTATTGAAACATGTATTTTAAAAAAAAATCAGCTAGATTTCTTTCATCTTCATTAATGCGATGATCTGATTGATATGTTCTGCTCCTTCAGAAATCTATGGATCTATATAATCTTTAGTTCATAAGAAAACATTTTTAGTTATCGAAATAGGTATTTATATCGATAAAAAGAAACGTCAATGGTTTTGTTTATTTTAGGCTAATAGAATCCATTATGCCAGGTGACAATTTAAGTTTATCAGCTATACGTACAATACGAGTTCTTCGTCCATTACGTGCCATTAATCGTGTACCATCCATGCGTATCCTTGTCATGTTATTACTTGATACATTTCCAATGCTTGGAAATGTTTTACTTCTTTGTTTTTTTGTCTTCTTTGTATTTGGTATTGTTGGTGTACAATTATGGAAAGGTTTATTACGTAATCGTTGTTTTCTGCAATTGAATACAACAAATATTTCTGATTATGCATTATTTGAGTATGAGCAAAAAAAAAAAAGAAAACTTTGAAATTAGAATATATGTATATATATATATATATACATATTTATTGTTTCTTTTGTAGGGATTTTCAATTACCAGCTTTTTATATTCCACATGACAAAGATTCATTTATTTGTTCACATCCTCAATCAAATGGAATGACAAAATGTTCAGATATACCTAAATTACGAATAGGAAATATGACATGTGAACTTGATTTGCATACATTTAGTGAACAATTATCAAAGAATCCAAATAAACCAATAAATGGTTGTGTTAATTGGAATCAATATTATACATTTTGCAATGTTTCCGATACAAATCCATATTCAGACTCAATTAGTTTTGATAATGTTGGTTTAGCATGGATTGCAATATTTCAGGTACTATTAAATGATTAATTTAAAATTATTTATTTCAATTTTTCTTTAGATAATTAGTCAAGAAAGTTGGGTTAATATAATGTATTATATTCAAGATGTTCATTCATTTTGGGTTTGGATTTATTTTGTATGTCTTATTCTTGTTGGTTCATTTTTTTTGATTAATCTATGTCTTGTTGTTATTGCAACACAATTTAGCGAAACAAAAAAACGTGAAACAGAACGAATGTTAAATGAACAAAAACGTTTTAAACATTCATCAAGTACATTATTAATTGATGAACATAATTCTTGTTGGGCAGATACAATTACATATCTTGAATATTTATGGAAATATGCATATAAAAGAATTCATAGTTCATGGATAAATTATCGACAAAAACATGCAAGTGTAAGACTAGACTGCACTCTTGTTCTTTTTTACTAATAAGAAAATTAATCCCATATCCATATCCTAAGTCCTATGTCATCCTGCTCAGTATTACAATATCTAGTAACTAATTTTTAAGAGGTGAATTAGAGCACGGGCCGATAATGTCGGTTTACCGTCATGATTTTAAAAATATTCTTAAAATTATGAGATCTATTTGCAGAGCAAAATTCCAATTGAATATTCTTTGTTCAACTGTTGGGTTCATACTGTTTCTTATTGCAACAAAAAAATCGAAAAAAGTTATCTCATACCTTTCTTGAAAGATTCTCTCAGAGTTAATCTAACTGAGGGCATCCTCTCTATATATATAAAATATAAAATCAAAAGTGATTGAATCATTCTGAGCGGATTCTTTTTTTCGTTTCCGTTGAACAATTATATGAAGAAAATATTCAAAAAATGAAAGGATTTTACTAATTTCACTCGGGATTATTATCGGCTACTGTTGGTAAAATAACAGTGATGTAGAAAAATCATTTGAATGTTCTAAGATGAATTTATTGAGTAAATCTACTGTTACAAAAAAAAAAAAGAAGATAACATAATGATAAAACAAGTAATAGAGGTTGTATTATAATCGAATCAGAATCAACTTGGTGAATATTTTGTTTTTTTGGTTGTATACCTATACAGAGATCTGTGCGAGACAATATTAGATGCATGAACTAAGAGAATATCTAAGAAAAAAAGTATCTATTTCTTTTTATAGATATTTTCAATGTTCGTACTGAATACATTTATCACTAATGTATTTTAAATAGAATGTACTTGATAAGAAATAAAATATTTTATAAAAGAATCCAATTTTTATGTAACTAACTTTCAAGTCGAATCGAAATATCGAAAAAATTTAATTTTATAGAATTCGATAGGTCGTCTATTTGTCAATAGTCATATTGATTGATGTAAAATATGTGTTAGAATAAATGAGCTTCATTACTATTTTCATCATATCTTCTTTTCTGTCTCCTTTAATCTCACTGAATTTTTTCTCTATTAAAAAGATTCATCGTTCAAAATTCTACAAAAGGATATGTTTTTTTTTAATCAACATTAGATACTTTCGATTAGTTGAGCAAGCACAATTTTCAGAAAAAAAAATGATTTGCTGATAGTTTTTACTAAAGATTTTAACTGTTAAATTATCATTACTTCCATAGAATTCTCATTTACAAGCTTTGTACTCTGGAATTTTGGATAAGTTTGTTAATGTTAAAAGTAAAATGTTTTCAAATTATCAATCTCTTTTGAGTTCGAACCTTCTGTCCGAAGTAGATATCAGCAAGATGTAAAAAACTTCCACAAGATACATATCTTCCGACCTAGTGTCTGGAGTTATACGCATTCTATATGATCTTTAGCTTCTCATATGATATATAACAATTAATCGAATGATGGTGTTTCTATCCAAGATGCACTCACACAATGCAACCTATCATTACCTACATGCTAAAGTCTCAATAGATATTTATATGCTGCGAAGAAACTAATATTTTCTGGGTTTTTTTGGGACTTTAATATGTCGGAAATGAAATGTTATTTTGAGCTGAAATCTTCCGGATATTACATTTACAAATAGATTTATTTGTGAGCGTCATCACAGATAGAAAAACCATCTTTCGATTTATTGGTAAATATTATGTCAGAGGTTCAAAATTAAATAAAACCCCTATAGGTGATAAGTTCGTGATATAGGACTGAGCAATGTTTTCTTTTTTATTTTTCATAAATATTTTGTATTTCTAGGTCAATAAAAAACGTTTAATTGAGATAAAAAAACATCGTCACAAAGAAACTGTAAATAATAGCCAAGCAACTATTGACATTCATTACAATAGAAATTCAATCGTGAATTCATGTTCATTTCCAAGTTTTGATATTATTCATCGACCTTATTGTCAATATCATCAACTAACAGATAATTTATCTATTGGAACACCTTCATCTTTATGTCCATCGATTGCTGATGCATCAATAGCTACTCCTGAACAATCGGATATTATCGATTCAATAGATATAGAAAATGCTGCTATAGAAATGCAAACAATTCCATCAATGGTTTGTCATTATCAACCATTAAAATCTGACTATTTAGATCTTGAAACCATAGATAAAAATCCATGCGATTGTTATTATCAAAATCTAATACCTGATAAATTAAACATCAATAATGAAGTCGAACAAGAAGATGATGACGAAGAAAAAAATAAAATAAAAAAAAAATCTAAAATATATCAATTTTGTAATGAATGTATTTGGCCTTATTTTCTTAATTGTCAAAAACATATAGCAAATTTTGTTGCAAGTAAATATTATAGTCATATTGTTTTATCAGCTATTCTTATGAATACATTATTAATGGGTGTTGAATATCATGGACAACCTCAATCATTAACAAATGCATTAGAATTTTGTAATTTAGCATTTGCATTATTATATATTATTGAAATGATGTTAAAAATAATTGCTGATGGATATTTACAATATATTAAAAATATTTATAATTTATTTGATAGTGCAATTGTTATTATCAGTATTATTGAATTACAAGGACATATGAATAGTGGTTTATCTGTTTTACGTACATTTAGATTATTACGTGTACTTAAACTCGTCAGATTTATGCCAACATTAAGACAACAATTAGTAAGAAAAATTTTTAATTAATTTATTATAGTTTTTATTTAATCTTCAATGGTCTATTAGAATTCATATATGTATAATATCTAATGCATTTTAATTGTATAAAAAAAAGAGCTAATATTCATTGTTAGTTGTCCATACTCGCATGGTCAATTGCAAGTATCTGCTTTTAGCATAGCTTCGTCTCTTTTTATGATTAGATATATAACGATTGGAAAACTGTGGGCAATTCATAAAACTATAAAAAGAAGAAAAGCGAATATGATGAAAATAAGATTGATCATTTTCTAGAAAAATTTTTGAAGTCCTTATGAATCGAAAATAGACTAAGAGTGATTGATTCCGAATGAGTTACGACAATTGGTATCAAACAAGTCATTATATATTATTGAGTTTTCAAGAATCTCAAAGTAAGATTTTACAATAAATTATAAGATTGAGACAACACTTATTCTATTTATTGAAAAAAATTCGAATGTATCTTTTTCAGTCGATGTAAATTAGTTTCTAGAACGTGAAAACGATAATATTTTATTTTAACTTCCCATGTTTCATAACAACTTTTCGAAACACATCATTGATGCCACCTACAATAGAAAACAGTACCTGATCCTTATGATATGCACGGAAGAGAGCTCATCGAATTGTAATCAATTTACAATGTCGAATGTATAAATAATTGAAAGTTCTAGCAGAAATTATTTTTTTCTTTTTGCTATTTTTGAAAAGAAATTAAATTATATTAGAAATACTATATGCTTCCCATATAGCAGAAATTCAAATGTATTCCTCCCAACAGATCGTGAGAGACAGGAAACAGTACCTGACTGTGGCGAAATTATGAAGCCGTGACCCATATCGATCACTGCTATAGACGATTGCGTTCAGACACAAAAATACGTTAGATTATGAAACGGATCGATTTTGTTTCATATTTTAATCTCATAGGGTATATATTGAAATCGTTTTTCTTATACAAGCCGACGAACTCTATTCGACTATCTCAGTCTACGTAAAATAGATCAAGTTCGTATTTTCAGTTTGTTAGTTTTCTGTTCAGATCTTTTCTGTGATTCAAATACGTTCAATGATAATCGATACATTCTTACATTGTTAAACACTCAAACATGTCTACACTTGTTTAATATTTATAATAATTATGTGATTTCCTCAAAAAATAGCGTAAAAAACTTCAATGTATTGCCATCATTTATTTTATGATATAGGTTGTTATGCTTCAAACAATTGATAATGTGGCAACATTTTTCTCTTTATTACTTCTATTTATTTTCATTTTCAGGTAAGCCAAAAAACAGTTGCACAAATCTATTTCTATATTGTATATATATATATATAAATATAAAAAACTCATCTATAGTATATTGGGTATGCATCTTTTTGGTTGCAAATTTTGCAAATATATCGAAGGAAACGATAACAAAAACTTTGAACCTGCATGTCCACGAAAAAACTTCGATTCTCTTTTATGGGCAACAATAACTGTATTTCAGGTAATTCGAACATAGTATTGTTTGTGATTTTCATAAAAACAAAGAAAAACAATCTTCGTTGCTTTCAATATTCTTATTTTCGACAATTAACATACGGGTAAAGTTACGCACAACGGGCCATACCCTCTCTCCCTTTCATTCCCGACATGAGTTATTTTTCTTAATGAATTCGTTTAGCATAGACCTGTGTAAAAATGTTGGCTCTTTAATTTGACTATTAATTAAAATTCATTAAATTAAGAAGTAATTAGCAAATATCTTTCTAAACATATGAGAAAACAGTCTGAAAACTGTATGACACGAGCTGCATCGATGATAAAATTTTCAGTAAGATCGAATTCCAAAAATTTTTTTTCTAAGAAAATTTGATTGTTTAGAGATCTTGCTAAATGCTGAAGCAATTTTTTTTTATCTCACTACCATCTAGAGACTCTAAAGTCGATTCCAGACTTCTCATTCTTTTTTTTAAATATCTAGTCATGCTGAGAAAAACTTATGTACATAGATTTTGTAGCTTCAAGAGTCGTCTACAACATTAACTATTTAGTTTTTTAAAATTATGCATCAAATTTGAGATTATTAAAAGTTAAATGCATAGAGTGAACATCGATGTCCTTTTTTTGTGCCACATCACACACGAACACATATTTGTGTTTCATAATGAAATAATAGAAGTTGAAATAATTCGAATGAATTTCTTAAAAATAGGTTTTAACTCAAGAAGATTGGCATGGAGTACTTTATAATGGAATGAAAAATACAAATGCATGGGCAGCATTATATTTTATAGTATTAATGACATTTGGAAATTATGTTTTATTTAACTTACTTGTTGCCATTCTCGTTGAAGGATTTTCGACAGATGTAAAGACGAAAAAATTTTAGCTTTATATTTTTTGTTTTGAATTTATAGAAAGAATCTGGTACTTCCAATATCGAAAATATGACAAATCGATTAGAAAAAATTGATCCATTTACAGTTCGTAGAATTTAATCTAATTCAAATATTAAACATATTGATTACATTCTTTTTTCGTAGACACAAGCACTTCTTACAGGAGATGTTGAACAACTACCACATCCACATGAATTAATAATCGATGAATCATCACATCATAAACATAGTAATAATCAAGAATATAAGATTTCTCGAACAAAATATATAAAACTAATATCATCTAATTTAAATATAATTTTCTTTTAGAAGTTAAAATAATGAGTATACCAAAGATTGCCACAAGTAATCAACATGATTCTAGTGAATGTTTTGCTGAAAATTGTTTAAAAGCAAATAAAAATTTCTCGTCATCAACTACATTAAGTTTTCATACATGTATTCAATCAATAAGAAATGAATCTTCGAAAGTATCTTTATCATTTCAACGAAGATGTACTATTTCTTCAATAAAAAATAATTCTACTAATAGTGTACAAAAAATTCAAGATAATTTATGTGAAAATAATTCATTGACATTAATTTATGATGATAATCATCGAATACATAATAATGACAAAAGACAATGTTTATTAAATCCTATACGACGAACAAATTCTTATCAATCATCATTAACAAAATCTTTTATTATTCAAGATGATACATTTATTGAACAAGAAATAAATAATTTAAATATGATTATTAAACGGCGATCAACAAATAATAATTTTACTTATCCAATGAATCAAATAGAAACATCAAGTACACATGAAATATCAAAACATGATTGTAGTCCGTATTTAAATAATTCTATTGATGAAGATTCGAATATAACAACAATAATTAATAATCAATATGATATCCGAAACGATACAACACAAAATGAAAATCAATCACAACAGAGAGTAAGTATTCAATTTGTCACGAATAGCTTATATTACTTTAATATGTTAAATTCATGAATTTTTCAAAATCAATCACTATCAAATGTTGAACAAGACTCATTTTTTTAACATTTCATACACACATGATATCAAAGATAAAAAATATTTCTGCCTTGTAGGATAAGGTGCCGTCAGAAGATATTTTCATAAGTCCGGTACAGAGCTGGGCAAGTCAAGTCAAAAATGCCTCAAGTCAAGTCAAGTCAAGTCAAGTCTGACTTGACTTGACTTGACTTGGTCGAAAACATTTTGGGACGTGACTTGACTTGACTTGACTTGGTCGAAAAACATTTTGGGCTGTGACTTGACTTGACTTGACTTGAAAGTTTTTTTAGTGACTTGACTTGACTTGTGACTTGAGAAGCCTCTGACTTGCCCAGTTCTGTTTCTTATAGGCATTATTTTTTAGCATGAAATAGAATTCTGAGACTATAAAAATTGATTCTCATCCGATAAGTACTAGTAAATGTCATGTTCTGCCTAACTTTTAATCGGATTTGACTTAACTTCTAGGGAAAAAATTTGGAATATGACTTGACTTGACTTGACTTGGTCGAAAAAATTTTGAGGTGTGACTTGACTTGACTTGACTTGAAAGTTTTTTTAGTGACTTGACTTGACTTGTGACTTGAGAAACCTTCAACTTGCCCAGCTCTGGTCCGGTATCTTCTATACAACTGTGACTAGCTGACAGGCCTTGAAACAGGTCACTTTTTCGTGATCATTGATTTACCTTCAGTTTGAAGATGAGTCTCCTAATTTTAGGTATCAACTATTGTTTTCTACTGCATGCTCAACAGCAAGAAGAACTTTCGCTTGGAAATATAGCACACAAGATTCATAGGATCGTCTCGATGACAGTTTACATTCGGCACAGTTTTTTAATGTCAATCACTTTCTCAGATTAATTAACGCAGTTAATGCACTATAGCCGGGCCGTCCTAGCTGAGAGTGTGGTTGTTGGTGGAGAGAACATCTCGAGACATCCATACTTCGCTAAAAATTTCAGCAAAACCTCTATGTTACAGTCCACTACATATTCTGAAAAACTATTTTGTTCAATAAATTTCTTTTTGAAACGAGAACTTCTTTTAATATGGACTTTTATGAAATTTTGTTCTTATTTCAGGTCTATCAAATATATTCAATTCATTCATGTGCAAATCGATTATGTAAATATTTTCAAAAACGTAAAAATTATTCACTATATATTTTTTCACCTGAAAATCGGTAAAAATATTATTTGATATGAATCAAAAATGAAAATAACTTGAATTAATAAATATTTTAGAGTTCGTCAAAAATTAAAATGTTTAGTTATAAAAAGATCATTTGATCATTTAACTCTATTTTTTATTGCTCTTAATTGTATAACACTTACCATGGAACGTCCATCACTTTCAGCAACAAGTTTTGTATGTTAGAAGTTCTTTTTTTATTTTTAAAATAAAAAAAATACAAAAGAATCAACGTATCTATTTTAGGAACGACATTTCTTAAATATAACAAATATTATTTTTACAATACTATTTACAATTGAAATGATGACAAAAGTTATTGCTCATGGACTTATATGTGGATCAGATACTTATTTACATAATAGGTGGAATATTATGGATGGTTTACTAGTTATAATATCAATTGTTGATCTTGCTACAATGTCTCGTGGTACAGTAATACCATCAAATCATGAATCAGAAGGAGCAACACGTATATTTAGTATGCTAAGAGTTTTTCGTCTATTAAGAACATTGCGACCATTGAGAGGTTAGAAAGACAAAAAAAAAATTATTGTACCATTGCAGTCTTTGTTTTATTTTATAGTTATCAATCGAGCACCTGGTCTTAAACTTGTTTTACAAACATTAATTTCATCATTAAGACCTATTGGTCATATTGTTATTATCTGTTGCACATTTTTTATTATTTTTGGTATTCTTGGAATTCAGGTAAAAATTATTTTTAACAAAATTAGTTCATTACAGAAATATCTATTACAGCTGTAAATCTGTCGCAATAGATTTCTTTTTAAATTGATACAATACGGTGTCAACAGTTTTGTTTTGGAGTATTTTTTTTAATGTGCATGAATCTCAATAGGATTTCGATGTCTGGGTGTGGGTGGGTTAAGCGAATATTTACACTCACACTTCACACCCATCCACACCCACACCCTTTTATTTTTTTTCAACAATTCTACTAAAAAAATCTTTTTTTTAATTAATCTTTCATTAGTTATTCAAAGGCAAATTTTATTATTGTGAAGGTCCATTTGCTCATAATGTAACAACACGACAACAATGTGAAGAAATGGCTGATCATCATTGGAAAAATCAACAATATAATTTTGATAATTTAGGCCAAGTATGTATTAACAAAAATTAAATGTTTTTCTAAAAAACAAAATGAATCTTTTTTTTTTCTAAGGCATTATTATGTTTATTTGTTTTATCATCACGAGATGGTTGGGTACAAATGATGTATAATGGTATTGATGCTGTTGATGTTGATATGCAACCAATAAGAAATTATAATACAGCAAGATTACTTTATTTTATTTCATTTTTATTACTTGTTGGCTTTTTTGTATTAAATATGTTTGTTGGGGTTGTTGTTGAAAATTTTCACAAATGTCGTGCTGAACAAGAACGTGAAGAAAAAGAAACATATAAAGCTAAATGTGCACTAGAACTTGAACGTAGACGACGTCGTAGACATGAATTACCGTATTATGCACATTTTTCACCATGGAGAAGACGTTTACATCATATATGTAATAGTAAATATTTTGATTTAATTATTGCTGCCATTATAGCTCTTAATGTTCTTACAATGTCATTAGAATTCTATTTAATGCCACCGGTAAATTTTATTAAAATTTGTTTGTTATTCATTTAATTTTCTTCTTTTTAATTAGGCTCTTGATATGGCTCTTGATTATTGTAATTATATATTTACAATTGTATTTTTAATTGAAGCAATATTAAAGATTATTGCTCTAGGACCATTAAAATATTTTAAAGACAAGTATAAAATAAAAAAATTATTTTAAATTTAATTTTTTATTATAAATTTTAGATGGAATCAAATTGATATTATAATTGTTATTTTATCAATAGCTGGTATTATTGTAGAAAAAATGAAAAATGGACATATACTTCCAATTAATCCAACTATTATACGTGTTATGAGAGTATTAAGAATCGCACGAGGTAATCAAAAATTTTCTCGATAATAAAAATTCCTTTCGAATTCATTATTGTATAATAATAAATTCAAATACTTTGATATATTTTAAAGTCTGACGAGAAAATCGTCCAAAATTATACGTTGATCGAGTTGTTAACTTGTTCTGCATGTATCATCAAAGTATTTTGTTCAAACCTTGATGCCAACAAACATAGCATCACTCTGAAAAAACCACAAACGGTCGTTTGTCTCGTATCATTCATCCGATTGCATGCTGATTACGCTGCGACTAGACATCTTCAATATCAGCAGTATGGAAAAGAAAAGTTGCTGAGATTGAGATCAAGACTACGAGAAAAAGAAAAAGTTATCAAAATTTTCTTGATTAGTTTTTTTGTAAAATAGAACAAATATTCGTAAAACTATCATCACTGAGACCGAAATCACTACAAATGAAGTTATCTCGGAAGCAGAGTAAGGCTAGGACTACATCAAATTTACCGAGACTAAATAAATTTAATGCCACACGTCTCTAGTTGTGACATACACCGATTCTTGCCACCAGTCTGCGAGTAGAAGTTCTTCAAATTGTTTAACCAAAAGAACTCAGAATCCGATAGACCTTCTGTTCAGAGCTGCAAATAATTAAAATTGCAGGACATATTTCCTTCTTCTAAAAGCTGATATATATATATATAACTGAGTAAAAACTTCTGTAAAAAAATGATGATAACTCGGTTCTTCAGATTCGTGAGTACAAAACTTTTTAGACTTTTGTTAGTCTTACCAATCTGAGCTAAAGTCTATCCTAAATATTAAAAATGAAGAAAAAGAATTTCCATCTTTTTGAATGTTTTTGATTAATGTAAAATCTTGGTTGTCTGATATTGTTTTTCTGTCATTGATAAATATCAAGAATGATTGTAAAATTTCGATTCTATCTAATAATATTCAAATTTTCAAGAAAGGAAATCATTTCTAGCAGACTTTCATCATTACTAATTCATCAGAAAGAAATTGTATAGTAGATTTAAGAAAATTATATAAATCTCTTTAACATTGTGATATTAAAAGAAAATAGTATGATAGATCAATCATTAGTATACAACGGTTACATTAATATTCAAAACTAATAAAATAAACATTAAAATTGCTAAAAAAATGTTAAGGTTTTAAAAAAAAAGATGTTCACTTTTTTTTTTCTATGATTTTAGTATTGAAATTATTAAAAATGGCAAAAGGTATAAGAGCTTTATTAAATACTGTTATACAAGCTCTTCCACAAGTTGGAAACTTAGTAAATGAACTTATGATTTCAATATTGATTATATAAAATGTCTTTTTTTTTTGTTCTCATTAGAGTCTTTTATTTTTTCTTCTTTTCTTTATTTATGCTGCACTTGGTGTTGAATTATTTGGAAAATTAGAATGTACAGATGAACAACCATGTTATGGACTTAATAAACATGCACATTTTAAAAATTTTGGTATGTCATTTTTAACATTATTTCGTATTGCAACTGGTGATAATTGGAATGGTATTATGAAAGTCAGTCATTTTGAATTATTTTATATCTTTGGTTTTTCTTCTAATATAAATTTTTCTGTTTGCTTATAGGATGCATTACGTCCAGATCATCCAACACATAATGGAAAAAATCATTTCATGTCTGTAATAGCACCGATTTATTTTGTTACTTTTGTTCTTATGGCACAATTTGTTCTTGTTAATGTTGTTGTTGCTGTATTAATGAAAAAACTTGATGTAATGAATAAAAAACAACAACAAGGAAATTTCTCATTTTATTATTTTCGTTTTAATTAGGAATCAAATCGAATGATGGCTGATGATGCAGATATTGATGAAGAAATCGATCGAGAATTAGAAGCTGTTGCACATGACCGAGAGTATTTTGAAAAATCATCACTTGATCAGCAAGAACTGGAAGTAAATATTGTAAAAATTTATTTTTTTTTCATTTTTAATAAATATTTTAGTTTCTAAATAATAATGATACTCATTACTTTTCATTAAAAAAACGATTCTCTTTACCAGCAAATTTTATATTTAATTCAATGATGACAATGGAAAAACGTTCAGAAAAAGGTTTGTTTTCTTATATAATAATGATTGACATGAATAACAATCTTTTTGATCTAATAGATTAGTTTCTTTTTTCGAATATTTGTTCTGTTTTAAAGAATTTCGAGTTCATTTCTGCTTAGCTGAATGAGTCTTGGATGTAGGCGAACTTGTGTGAAAAAGTGAGCTTGATGCGCAAATTTGAAATTTCAAAAATCATTTTTTCGCCTCGATTCAAACGCCAGAAATTATTCAGTTTCTGACAATATTTCTACTGAATGCTGCTGAATTTTATATAAATAGAGATTTAGAAGATAATGAGCTTAAAAGCGTAGAATATCTCATTTTAACCTTGAGTTCAAATATGGACGACCTCTTTTCTCGCATGATCAGCTTCGATCTTATCAGCCTCTTTTTTTTCGTAGTATCTGTGACCAAGACTGAATCCGTACATGTCTACTCTTGAAGTTATTTAAATTCACATTGGTTATTAAAAAAAATAATGAGTTTTAAAGTTTGAAAATATGTCCATCGTTAATACTATAATTAGAAGACTACTATGTTTGTAATGTGTTCGTGTGTGTTTCTTGTTAAAGATAAACTAACAAAAACAATCAAGGACTTGTAATTATCATAAATTCTCACTTCAATACCTCGTATTGTAACACAAAAGTTGAATGAAATAATGCCTTCAATTAACATAAAGAAAATCTTTCATTAAGTAATTAAACAAGTAGAGAAATCTTATGTCAACCAACAACAATTATTTCTCATTATCATTCCAAAACAATTCCAGCTTGCTGTAGAAAATGTGTTTATAATCAACAAAACTCGATATTTCACTAAAATAAAAATAAAAGAACCCAAATTCTATTCAATCATTCTCTATATCATTATTACGAAACTATTCAAAATGACGTCAACGTTTTATTGAAGATGATACCAATAACGATGAATCCTGATCAAGTAGAATCATCATTCATAACCAATAGAATAATCACCATATTTATTCCGTCCAAAATTAATTTCAATTGACAGACAATAATTTCTGTCTGATGAAAAAATTTGTAGCGTAAACAAAAAGACACGCATCTAATTATTTATATAAAATATTATCCTTTTCTTTTTTTGTGAATGTCGTATTATCTATTGATACCTTTGTTTGTGTTTTATTCTTCATTGTATGTCAGTTCTATATAAATCTTTTATTGTTTTCGTTTTAACAGAAAAGGAAATTATTTTGATTTTTTTCAAACAAACTTTTTTACATGTCAATCATAAAACATTTTGACAAGTGTGTCATCTAGTCGAAATATTATAATAAAAATGAATTCAAACATCATAGAAAAATTTCATATGGTTTCTCTCAATCTGTTGTTTCTCTTAAAACTAGAGAGTAGTTATACACAGGAAAACAGAATACAAATCGTTCAACTATTAAATCATCAAACGGCTGCCAAGACATGCCCAAAAAGTGACTAGTATTGACATAGTAGCGAAAACAATGATCAAAAATAAAGCTGAAGAAATTGCTATTGGAGTAGGAACACAATCCTTTTGATAAAGAAATTCTAACAAGAAACATATTTCATATTATTGTTCCATTTTCGATGCGCTTTAATTTGCTATAAAACTTGTTGTTGCTGTTATTTGAAATCATAGCGTTATCTTCCGAAAAAATATTTTTACCCATCTTGTATATAAAAAAATGATAGTGAATATGACAGAGAACAACTATACATCGCTTCTTTAAATCCCATCTGATCAAGTCGAGTCTCTTAAGTGTCGTCGTAGTTTCCGATAAAATCGTTTTTCAACTAAATGTTCATCGAATTCCGGGTCACTAGAAATATAGACTAAATCCGATAGAACTCGATTGAATGAAATCGGAATCCGACTATTTTCGGCATAGTCCGACAATGAATAGGAACGAAACTGACAAGATTTAATGATTGAATTCCTCGATCTGGATAAACACTTTATTGTAGTGTAATGTATGATTAATGACAATTTGCTTCAATACAGATTCGGATCATTAAACTCTCTTCGTTGCCGACTCGAAGCTCCTCCGAGAATGCGGTATATTTGTATTATTGACCCATTGTATTGAATAACGTACATCGTTTATTGAAGAAAGTAGTAGTCAATCATACACTACACTAAAACACAGTATTTAAATGATTCTTGTAATCAACATTCACTTGAAAACACAGGAGTTTAATACGAAAAGAATCAGCAGTGCATGTCCAATATTTCTATATCTGCTATGATGATAGTGCTTACTTGAGCTTTCAGAGATAGTCTTGGAACGGATCCTATAGTGAATAAAGGTCTTCCACATTTCACTTACGTGTACACGATACTAACACCCACACACACGTAGTCCTCGCATTAGTCCGAATAATTTGTTTCTGTATACAATTTACTGATATTTTACAACTGCATTGTGATCGATAAGTAAGATTAAAATCAGAGTATAAATTGACGTAAGTAATGTTAGCACCAGATTCGCGTATTTCCTGTCCTTATTCGCCCCTACGTCTCTGCTGTTTTCCTACTTGATTGTGCTGGATGCCGAATTTTATTCTCTATCGAATGGTAACAACTTCGACCAAAAAATAGGGTCTACCACCAAAAAACTGATTTTCCCTCTGTGTGACGAATTCGGAAAAGATGTAATTCCTGTCCCGATTCGCGCAAACACCTGTGCTGTTCCCCTCTTTGCTTGTGCTAGATGTAGATTTTTACGCTCTATCTAATGGTATAAGTTTTCGATAGCATCGCAGTCGGAAAAGTTAGGGTTTCTGGCCTGATACCATCCCAAAAACCACTTTTTACATTATCTCCTTTTCCGATTCGAAAATTGACCTGTGCTGTTTCCCTAGTTGCTTGTGCTGGATGCAGAATTTAATTCTCTATCGAATGGTGACAACTTCGGCCACAATCATCGACCAAAAAATCGGGTCTACCACCAAAAACTAATTTTCCCTCTGTGTGACGAATTCGGAAAAGATGTAATTCGTGTCCCGATTCGCCAATACACCTGTGCTGTTTCCCTCTTTGCTTGTGCTAGATGCCGATTTTTACGCTCTATCTAATGGTATAAGTTTTCGATAGCCTCGCCGTCCAAAAAGTCGGGGTTCAGACCAAATACCATCTTAAAAACCACTTTTTTACATTATCTCCTATCCCGATTCGACAATTGACCTATGCTGTCTCCCTACTCGGTTGTGCTGGATGCAGAATTTTATTCTCTACCGAATGGTAACAACTTCGACCAAGGTCGTCTACCACCAGAAAACAGATTTTCCTCTATGTCACGAATTCAGAAAAGTGCTAAGTCCCATGCCGATTCGCCCACACCTCTGTTCCGATGCTCTCATCAGCTGTGCTCAGTGCAGAATTCGATTCTCTATCTAATGGTGGTATTTCGAAGCAAAGCAAATGCAAGGAAAGCGAGTAGGTAGGCCGATACTTACCCCAATGGATCCGTCCCAGTAAACCATGGTGGTCAGCTTCATCCTGGACGTTGTGCTCGCTCTCGGATGCCTTGTGCTGAGTGGAGAATTGGATTTTCTATCGAATGGTGAGATTTGCAAGTAAAACCAAAGCAAGCTAGGGGAGTTAATGCGCCGATACCTACCCCGATGGACCCTCCGAGCAAACCTTGCTGGTTATCTCCATCCAGGACGTTGTGCTGTCTCTCGGATGCGTGATGCTGAGTATAAAGTAGGTAATATATTACTTGAAAAGAATCGATCATTCAATATCCCTCTAAT